GAAGTCTTCAAGACTTTCTTGATGTTTTAAATTCACGTTTCCCTTCGGTTAAATTTACAGTAGAAATGGAAAAAGATGGCAAATTACCATTTTTAGATACGTTGGTTATAAGAAATGGGAATTCTTTAGAATTCGACATCTACAGAAAACCCACTAATACCTCTAGATATATACCCAACGACTCTAATCATTGTGTTCAACATAAAATGGCTAGTTTTAACTTCCTTGTACACAGATTACTTAGCTTCCCTCTTAGTAAAAATAGATATAATAAGGAACTCTGTACAATTAAGAAAATTGCAAAAGACAATGGTTACAATTGTAACATTATTGATAAATTAATTAATAAGATAAAATTTAGGAATTTTATTTCAAGATCTACGACTTTTCAAACAGATGCTAATAAAACCAAGTTTATTACTATGCCATACGAGCCAAGATTTACTCGCGGACTCGAGGGTATTTTTCGAAAACTTGGTTTACGGATTGCTTACAGTTCAAATGGCAACTCCATTCAAACTCTCCTTGGTAACCCTAAGGATAAAATTCCATTCTTAGAAAAGTCGGGGATATATGAAATTAGTTGTAATGACTGTAGTAAAAAATATATTGGACAAACTAGACGTTCAATCAAAACCAGATTTAAAGAACATCTAGCTCATGCTAGGTTTGGTAGAGAAGAAAAATCTAGTGTTGCCCAACATATTCTTACTGATGGACATAATATTAATATTAATAACCTTAAGTTAGTTAAAGAAGTTAGGAATAATCGTTTACTAGACAGTTTTGAAAGTTTATACATTTATAAAAATAAACAAATTGTTCTTAACAATGACAACGGTCCTATCCCTGGATCTCCGCTATTTAGTCTAGTTTAATTACGTTTATGATGATGATGTTAAGGTCCATTGAACATCTACCTTGTTGGCATTGGGTCATGTTCACTGAATCAGTATAAATTAGGATTAGTTCTCATTTAGGTTTAGTTTACTTCAGTCCCTGAAGAAGGTAACTTTGTTACCGAAAAGTGCTTCGGACAACTACAGTGTCTTGTTTTGGCGTTGGGGTTTTGAGCTATTCTGTTTGTTCTAAGATAAAACTGACCAAGATGGAACGACTTTTCCCGAAAAAAGCAGTTTATCGTGATTACATAACTGAAACCTTCTCGAAAATTATCTAAGGATCAAATTCAATATCGAAAGTTGTTTTTCACAAACCAATTTATGTTTATAGGTGGAGTAATGACCCGCACTGTATTCTGTATTTTTACAGGAATTTCTTCAACTTGTGAGGTGTGTCAGTGCAGTGCTTAAAGCCTCTAAATCGTTCGCTCTGTAATTTCGCGATTTATAAATCGATAAAATGCGAAGCAATGCCATTTGGGTTTGAATTTCGAAGGTCGCCATTCGGGCATTTATTTTCCAGCATCTAATACGCTATGTTGCTTTATTTCAGAAAATGAAACTAACGACGTAACAAAACCTAAACGTGTCCAGATCACAGCGTTATTATATGTAATACATCGAGATTTTTTTAATCATCGAATATTTATCCTTTATGAGTTTATTTACTTTTAATCGTGACTTAGAGTAAGAGGCTTAGTAGCCTTCAACCGTAGACCCTGATCGTCCG